GATTAATAAAAAGATGACAGACAAACAGATGGTTTATATATTCAACACCGTTTTAATGCCTAGAATTGAATATCGCGTCCAGATTTCAGCTCTCACAGAAACCCAGTGTGATTTTATTGGTTCTCCTTATCATGTGTTTATGAAGAAGAAATTGCACCTGTCTCGTGATACACCGTCCTCTGTGCTTCACTCTAATTTATTTTATAATCTCATTAATCTTCACCATTGGCTTTTCGCTGCTCAAAATAAAGCCTTACTCTTCTCCCTTAATGATAGAAACATCTTAGGGGACTCCACTAGATTACGCATGAGACAGCTTCAACAAAAAGAATGGCTACACATCTCTCCACTTCACAGTTAGCCCTATATTCGTTACCCTAAATCGAATGACTGGATTGCAAATATCTTGTGTGAATGAAAACGTTTGGACATTAATGCGTAATCACCTTCATCTGAATCATATCTAGTCAAAGGAGGAACGACACCAATTTCCTCTCTAATACCATCCAAGTATAAAGTCATTGCTAATGACCTCAGAAATCACTCCTTACTCTTTGTTGAACAATTAGTTACTTCTAACGGGAATTTTATGTTAACATACTACGACCTCAGCATTCAACCTGGGTTTCCATTCACGCGCTGTATACCTAAGTGGTTCAATATTTTACAAGAAAGCTTGATTGTTGACCCTTTAACAGAAATACCAGACACAATTATCCACACCCATGCAACTGCACATTTGATTTCTCGCCACCCAACAAACATACTGGTATCATTTCCTTTGTATTAGGATGGAACTTTAGACATAATAAATCTTTTGTAGGAAGATTACTTAAAACCGAAGAGCACTATACACATATTATACATATTAACCCAACACAAGGACATAATAATAGAATATTGCTCTTTGAATGTCCTCGATGTGATCTTCATGATCAACAAACGCACATCCCATATCAGACTACCGACAAAGAACACAAATGTTTATCATAGTCTCCATCAACCTTTGCTTTCATATTCCAACACATCACAATATCACTAATTCCTCATATGAATGCTCGTAGTTCCTGCATTTGCTCAATGAACTAGCTTCTTCTTTTATTAAGATTCACATAGTTCTACATTCTAACATACCTGCAAGATCTTTTATTCCACCTATTCCTCCTTCTTTTATAGAAAAATTTATTCCTTCTTCACATATCCCGACATTACTAAATTTTCGCTCTCAATTCAGTTCTTACACTTCCTTAGAATTTTATACTGATGGATCCCTGATCAATCTCGGCTCAGCTTCTATTAGAATGGGTCTCATTTGGCTCCAAACTGCACTATTAGTTCCACAAATCTCATACTCTACTGCTTTTACAGCATCTTTTCCATCATCATCAACAGCTGAACTTACCACAATTTTTACTGCCATTCTCATTTTCCCGTATGGATGCAAAGTCAACATCTTCACTGATTCTTATACGGTTATTTCACAATTTAACAAGTATAAACTCCTGTCATTCATCTTTCCGTCTGTAAGACCTCTCCTCAAAATTGTCAATGTTCATATTTGGTAATGTTTGTTTCAAGTCATTAAAGATTCATCGCTCAAAGTTAAACTGAATAAAGTTAAAGCCCATTCGGGTGCTACCTATAATGATGCTGTAGACTCACTGGCGAAAGGCTCCTTAAATACTTCTGCTCTCAACTTCATTATTAATGACCAATAGCATACTTCTTTATATTACAACAAGATGGCGATTGCTTTACCCATCAGGCAATTTATTAAAAATATCACTCAGGTAGAGACCTTCTCAGCTTTCTTGAATTTCAACATCATTAATAAATACCTCAATTTGGATATTGATTGGATGGCCACTATATTCTGCTTAAAGACAATACTGCCTCCAACGTTACCAATTACAAAGCCTCTGCCTTACAAAAAAAGAAACTCCAAAGGGTTCTCAAAATGCTCCCTACAATGGAAACACTCAAAAAATGCCATCCTCTAATTTTTGATAACTCACAAATGTGCATTCGCTGTGAAACTGATTTAGAAGATTTTGCTCACATATGGACTTGTCCACTTGTTTTACATAAATCTCAACTGATCATTAAAAACGCTAAAGGGCTACTCTGCGATATTACTCAAACCGATCCACTGGACCTGCGGATCAATCAGCTCAATATCTGGTCCTTGTCTATGACATTACCACTTTCATTCGTTGATTTAATCAAAGGTTTCATCCCTTCTGCCTTAATTGTATTTGTGTCATCGTCTCTGACTACTAAAGAAGCTACCAATGCAGCACTTTCTACCTTTATGCATTTCATTTATGAATAATCACAAGAGATATGGATTGAACGGTGTTCAATACTTAAAGAATATGAATCGGC